TGTGCCCTATTTAAGAAATCTCTGTCAGACCCAAGGTTACTACTCCTGCTTTCTTTCCAAAGTTTTAGATTCTTAACTCATATTTAGGTCCATTTCAAGTTAATCTTCTGTATACTATGTTATGGCAGTCTACAAAATTTGTATCTACAAAGAGTTGTAGTATCATGAAAATACTCATTTATAAAAATTAACTGAAGAGAGCCCAATACAAATCTTTATATATAGGATAGGCACCACTTGACAATCAAGTTTTAGCAGAAACAAACCAATGGATAAAACCCATGACTAGAAAAAAGAATGGAAGGAATGTTTAATTGCTGTTTTTAGCTTGTGTGACCATTGCCTATTTCCTGTTTCTTTTCACTTTTCTGTATTTTCCATGTTTGCTGTAATAAGCACCAAAGATTGTTATACCAAAAATCAATTAAGATATTTTTAAAAAATCATCCCAGAGGCTTTCCGGCTCCAGGCAGCCTTCACAGGGCTCTTTAATGCATAAATGGCCCCTTTGAAGAACCTAAAAGGTGAACACACTACCAAGAATTCACCCTCTCCCCAGCCCGTTCAGTGTGGCTCGACAGTAGGAAGAGATGAAACAAAGAATTTCCAAGAAGAACTCTCCAAAGAGAATGTGAGATTTGCTGAAGCCTCTAGACGAAACCAAATGCAAACCCAAATCCAAATACCACCCTAATATAGGCGATTTCCAGCCGAGGGAGGCCGGTTGGCCCACTTGGGACCCCACCAAAATGCTGGCCTGTCCGCCCAGACACTCCGCGGTCACAGACGTGAATGTCAAACAGCTTCTCCACTCACTCCCTCTCCATGGGCAAGGAAAGCGAATGCAATACTCTCGCTGATGTGCTCACTGTCCTCTGTCTCAATACACTTGACAAGACAGCCTAAGTCTGCAGCCTCGTGATCAGCCTCCGGCCGGCCCAGCCACCGCTCCATGTGCGTATACTGCTGACGATCTGGCAGGCGGGATTTGCCTCTTGAGCTGCTGCACAGGCCAGACGGGCTGAGGCGATTGCCTACAGATGTTTCATGGAGAGGAAGATTACTTCCCTGATTGATGAATAAATAGAGTTGTCAACACCATCTCCATGGTCGGAGGGGACCCCTGAAGTAGAATGTGGCAGGACAGATGTTTCATCTGGAAAGATGTCCAAGACCCTAGTTAGAGGTGTGTGCTCGGCTGATAAGGCGGGCCGAGTAATTCAGCCTCCGAGAGGGAGCTGGGAGGGCGGGCCTGCAGTCGGAGCCAACACCACTGGTGAGCATCCCTGGGGCAGACCACCTCCCAAATCCTGCTAAGGGAGTGGGCATGCTGTCTCAATCACAGCCTCTTCTTTGGGCTGTTTTTCCAATGAACAAAAGGTCCCTATCATGAGAAATGCAGTCATCTTCTTAGTCCTTACCTGCTATGAATCACAAAGAGGGCAGCAGACACGACACTGTAATCCTCATGCTAAACCTCACAGCTTCCTCCAGAAGGAAGGAAAAGCAGGCACAGTCCCGCTGGGAAGGAGGCAGGGCACATGGAGGGGGCTACCTTCTTCTCAGGAGCATGCTACTGTGGGTTTTCCCGGCTGACCTTCCAGAATGAATGAGACAGTAACAATAACGATGATCATAATTGTTTTAGCAACTGGAAGGCGAGCCATCATGATGTGATGCTACACTATATTCCTGACACTGGTGCATCTCACTGAACCCTCACACACAAGAACATGCGTGCACAGAATCCCCGTGCAAGGACTAGCAACACTTATTGCCTGGAAACCCCCTCTTGAAGAGTCACTAGAGGATGTATCCCAATGAAGGGGAAAGAGGAATGGGTAAGTGTTTTCATGAAATCCATTTTGCAGATGAAAATGCACAAATTCAGAAAGGTAAAGTAACTCGCCAGGGTCACAGAGCAAGGAAGCAGCCAGCTTGGGAACAGAGCCCAAATTGGGCTCATTCCCAAATCCCTGCTCTTAGTCACTGTAATTTTGTGGCCATCAGGAGAGGAGGGGGATGAGGATTACACCTTGAACACAAGCAAACAAGTGGTGACGCTTCCCACACGGAAACATGACGTGCCCAGACACACACCACTTACACCTGGACATGCCTGCTTCCGGCCTCCCCCTTGCACAGCTTGGAGCGTAATGCTAACAATCTCTTGTGCAGCACTTTCAGATGGGCTATATTCCAGGAGGAAACAGGCAACAGACCATCCATGTCCCACACCCATACACACGCAGACACAAACAGACAGCTAAAACCTAGAGCACTACCCCAGAAAGGGTATTTGGGTATTTGTGGCAAAAGAGGCCCCATCTTACCACCCACAGAGAAGGAAGAAAACATGTGCAGCAGAAGAATCTAGGCTAGTTTTCTCAGAGTTTGCACACCTTAAAAACAACTTTTTTTATATCCCACTCTACAGCGAACTAGATTGTCCTCGAGGGTAGAGTGGGAAGCTTCAGTGTCACACTAGCCTGGCACATGGTAGGTACTCAATACCTTTTTGTTAAATGATAGCGAATGAATGGACAAAGACAGGATGAAGGGAAAGGCCAACATACGGTAGTAATGGGAAACATAAGCTTTGGGGCTGGACAGTCCTGGGCTTGAATCACAGCTGCCACTTTCTGGGTATCTATTGCTACTGCCTCTGTCTCACTTCGTCATTTTCAGAGTGGAGACAAAAATAAATACCAACTTGACCAAAATGGCTGGAAGAACTCAAGGATGTGGTGCTGAGCACCATGCCTGACACATGCTGGGGTTCAGGGATGAGATCTACCTTTACTTCCAGGGAGAACACTCCAGTCTGCAGGAAAGAGCAAAACACAATATACCTTGCATCTCAGTCTTACAGAGACAAAGGATCACTGTTCTTAGGCTGGGTCAGGAGCTGCAGGGACCAGCCTTGCAGAGGCAGAGAGGGTGAGGGCTCTGCTCCAGGTGGTTTCTCCGCTGGACCATGATGGAGCTTCCCAGGCAGGTTCAGAGGAAACCACTTAGGGAATTGAAGGAAATCAGAACATGTCCCAAGAGGAGCAGCCAAAGGGACCAGCACTGCTTAGATTTCAAGAAGTGCAGGAAGGGACAGGACATCCTACATGGTCCCAGGGTCAAAATGGAGCTGACGAGCAAAAGCCACAGGAGGTACATTTCAGTGGGAACCAAGTCCCAGAAAGGCTGTTCTTCGCCTGAGGTCATGGCACAGAGCAGGTGCATGGCAGAGCACACGGCCAAAGCCAAAACCTGGGATGGGATGATTCCGATGCCCAGTGCTACACTTCTCCACTGTTCAGCAGTAGAGGAAGAAGGGAGACTAGGCACTGAAATCACCTCCCACCCCCACCAACCCAACCCCACTGGTAAAGAAAGCCTCGTGTGGGTGTGTGGGTGTGTATGCACACGTGTGCGTGCATGTGCTGGTTCTTGCTTCAAGTATTTTTGTAGAACTGAAGGCACAAGTAGCACAAGGTTCTTTCTGTCATCTCCAAAAGCCTAAGCCCACTGGATGGACAAAGCTGGGAGAAGGTAAGATGCAAAGGCTTGAACAGATAAAGATGTGGTATATACATACAATGGAATATTATGCAGCCATCAAAAGGAATGAAATCTTGCCATTTGCAACGACGTGGATGGAACTGGAGGGTCTTATGCTGAGCGAAATAAGTCAATCAGAGAAAGACAAGTATCATATGATCTCACTGATATGAGGAATTCTTAATCTCAGGAAACAAACTGAGGGTTGCTGGAGTGGTGGGAGTAGGAGGGATGGGGTGGCTGGGTGATGGACACTGGGGAGGGTATGAGTTATGGTGAGCCTTGTGAATTGTGTAAGACTGTTCAATCACAGACCTGTACCTCTGAAACAAATAATATATTATATGTTAAAAAAAAAAAAAAAAAAGAAGATAGCAGGAAGGGAAGAATGAAGGGGGGGAATCGGAGGGGGAGACAAACCATGAGAGACTATGGACTCTGAGAAACAAACTGAGGGTTCTAGAGGGGAGGGGGGTGGGGGGGTGGGTTAGCCTGGTGATGGGTATTAAAGAGGGTACATACTGCATGGAGCACTGCGTGTTATACACAAACAATGAACCATGGAACATTACATCAAAAACTAATGATGTAATGTATGGTGATTAACATAACATAATAAAATAAAATTTAAAAAAAGAGGCAAAGGCTTTAAGAATCCTAAAGGAGAATGGGGAGACCCACCTCCCCCTGGGCTGGGGAAGAAGGGAGATCAGGTGCTGCTGCCTGAGAAAATAGTAAGACACATTCTCAGGAGGAATGGTGGTGTGGTGGTCCTGAGGAGGGAAGACCCCAAACCAGGGCACCCAGCCTGACAAAGATGCCCACAGCCTATATGGGCATGAAAGCAGACAGCCCACAGACCTCAAGGAACCTCAAAGGATTATCACAGTGAGCAGGTCAGTGGCAACCAGGAGATGAAAGGCTCAGACCCTGTTTCCTTGGCTATATGCTTCCTGGATCTCTGGGGTCATTTTGGAAGGAGGAATGGCCCCCACAATGACCAAGAAGGGATTTTCTGTTCAGCTGCTCAGATCTGGGCTCAGAGACATATAAAGCTGATTTAAAGCAAATACAGATATTGAAATTCTTTGCAAATCTGTGTTTGAGAATTGAGATTCATACCCAGCAGGACTGTAGGTACCAAACACCATATAAAAGGGCGACAGAGGGGTGCCTGGGTGGCTCAGATGGTTAAGCATCTGCCTTCGGCTCAGGTCACGATCCCAGAGTCCTGGGATCGAGTCCCTCATTGGGCTCCCTGCTCAGTGGAGAGCCTGCTTCTCCCTCTCCCTCCAACTTGTGCTCTCTCTCTCAAATAAATAAATAAAATCTTTTTAAAAAATGGCAACAGAAACACCTGCTCTCCTCCCCCTCCCCCATCCCCCAGTCAGAGACTGGGTACCCCCAGATCTGTCAGCTGGAGAGCACCTCCCGGGCTCCTGTCTTACCTGGGGAGCAGGTGCTTGCGGCTGACACACAGAGCAGTCTGGTAGTCCTGGGTCACACATACTTTGTGAGGGCTGCATTTCACCTTCAGGCAGGGGTCTTTGGATGGGTCCAGGGCTGAGGCAATAAGAACGAGAAGAGGGGGGTTAGGACCTCCAGGGAAATTTAATTTCTCTTTCTACTCAAACAAGTGGGAAATAAGCAGACCATGTGTTTGCACTCCGTGCTGTTTTCTTAGGCTGATGGGGATCACAATGAATCCCCAAACCAGGGGGAATTCTATGTCTGGGCACATGTTCTTCTTTAACATCAGGATAGTGATTCCTTTGTGCTTTAGGGAGTTTCAGCATCTCCATCTCGGGTAGGAATTACTTTTAAAATCCTTTAGAATCTTGGGGCGCCTGGGTGGCTCAGTTGTTAAGCGCCTGCCTTCAGCTCAGGTCATGATCCCAGGCTCCTGGGATCAAGCCCCACATCGGGCTCCCTGCTCAGCGGGAAGCCTGCTTCTCCCTCTCCCACTCCCCCTGCTTGTGTTCCCTCCCTCACTGTGTCTCTGTCAAACAAATAAATAAAATCTTTAAAAAATAATAAAATAAAATAAAAATAAAAATCCTTTAGAATCTTACATGCTTCAAGGACCAAGAGCTACTTTTCCCTCTTTGGTTATTTGGCTACAACTGCTTTTTATGACTTCATCCATGCCTACTTTTACTTATTTCGTACAACGTAGAGAAGTCCTCGAGGATAGAGTTTTTTGGCTCCAGTTCAATCAACACGGACTGTGTGCATCAATAAGCTTATTTTAAATTTTGTGACTAACGTGAGGATGCACGAGACCATTCTATGCCACACAAAGTTCTGATATAATAAGGAGGGGGACAAGCTGACACATAAATATTTATTGTGCAAGGTGGGAGGAGATAAGGGTCCTGACGGGCATACAAAATGATAACAGAGCTCAAGAGAAAAATAGATATCAATTTCTGGGGCATGGATTAATGAAGCATTAATATGTGAACTGGATCGGGGCGCCTGGGTGGCTCAGTCGGTTAAGCATCTGCCTTCAGCTCAGGTCATGATCCCAGGGTCCTGGGACTGAGCCCCACATCGGGCTCCCTGCTCCTTGGGAGCCTGCTTCTCTCTCTCCCTCTCCCCGCTGCTTGTGTTCCCTCTCTCGCTGTGTCTCTCTCTGTGTCAGATAAATAAATAAAATCTTAAAATAGAAAATATGTGAGCTGGATCTTGAAGGAGGGGCAGAGCACGGGGGTAATCGAGGCATGAAGACCAGCCACGCCAGCGCAGGGAGGCACATCTGGGCCATTGAAAGACACTCCATAGGACGAGTGAGTGTGGCCTGCGGGTGGGAATGACGGGGGGCAGGGAGGGGATGTCTATTCAACCCAGGCAGCGGAGAGAGGGTCTCCCACAACAGCAGTTGCCAAATTGCAAAGCTTTTCAGAGCCAGCCGAGCAGCAGGCCCTGGGCTCATGAGCACTCCTCAGCTGCTTGTAGCAGAACAGAGGCCGCAGGGAATCTTCCGCAAAACAAAAGCAATTGTACCATCTCCCAGCTCCAGGCCTAAAGCCTATTTAGGCCGTAAATCTTTCATAACTTCTCTCCCCAGCCAGAGGAGGTGGTGTTTCCCCATGTCCTCCCCACACACGTATGCGGTTACACAAACAGGAGTCCCGAGCACGGACAGTAAACCTGCCGTGAGAAATGCCATCGTCCCCTCCAGGCTGGGTCCCTTGGCCACCACGATACCCCTGTGCTTAGAGAAGTCCTGATTCCTCTCAGCCTGAGCAGGCCCCAAGTCTCAAGACCACCTTCTTCCGACGACTGCAGGGAAAGTCTCAGGGGATCTGAACCCACAACAGCCAGAGGCCTTTCTGCTTCGTGAATAGCTCGGGGAGGCCCCCTCCGCTGCAGCAGCCTCAGCCACTGTCCACACAGGCAGGGTGCATTTTTTTGGCTAGTCAAGTCAGCAACAAGACCCGGGTCCTGGTCCCCGGGGAGTCATGCAGCAGAGCCTACTCCCCGAGGGACTGCCCAGCTGCCTGAAGCTTAGCAGAAGAAAATGAGCTACAGGACGAAAAAAGAGACTGATTCAAGCCCCAGGGACAGGGCGTTCAGTTTGAACTCTTCAGCTGAGGGCTGCATCTGGGAGGCAAATGGTGGTGGGGGGGGGGTGCGGGGCGTGCTGTGTCTGCTCACAGAGTCCCCCAAGGCTGGGCCTTCCAGAAATTCACAGCAGGGTCTGCCCGGTCCTAGGTGGAATGATCCTGGTCCTGGGGATGTCCACCTGAGAAGCCAGGAGGCTGGTGTGGCCTCAGGCCACTGGCCTTCTCCTTGGGCAGTATCTCCCACCCCCAACCCCAGAGTGGCTGCCCAGCCAACTCTGACTTGCTTTCCAAGACGCATGCAAAATTAATCCAACCTGCAGAATGACCACCGGATGACCACTAATGATGACCATGCCAACTGTTCGCGGGGACAAGGGACAAGGGAGCGAGTCAGACATTATGGAGCTCTAGAGACTCGAGGACCAGACCACAGGCAGCCCTCGCCAAGGTACCAGCTTCAGCATTTCCCTGACAGGTGCTCAGCATTGCAGAACCCCAGAGATTTTCACTGGACCATGTGGCAGAGTGGAAACCAACAGGGTGATGGAGAGCAAAATCTGGAATACTGCATGACCAGCTTTAGGGCCAAACTCGGGGTTCTCTTTCTCTCTGCAGGCAGCTCCACAAACATCCACGTCCATCCTGTGGCCCGGATGTCCTGCGTGGACAGTGCCATCTCAGAGCAACTGAGCGAGCCGTGCGGAGTACGGAAGAGCGGGCTCCAGGCCCAGCGATTCCGAGTTTGAATGCCGGCTCTGCGATATACTCATGCCTCAGTTGCCTCTTCTACACAGTGGGGGGGATAATGCCACCTGCTACTGCTTGGGTTGTCAGGTGACTACACGAGTTAATATCTGTGAGTACTTAAAACAGACTTGGTATAGGTTACGCACCTCGCAGGTATCTGCTCATTTTTTGAGCATTTTGTCCCCAGAACGAATAAGAAGCCTTCATAATAACATGGATAGCTTGACACTTACCCACTGCTTCAGACAGGGAGGCAATGGACCAAGCCCTCTAACTGGATTACCATATTTAATTCTCAAAACCACCCAAAGGGGGCTTCTGTTAATGTACCCATTTTACAAATGAAGGTCTTAAAGAATCACCGATGAGAGGTGCAGAGGGAATGTGACACCTGATCAGTTGACTCCTCACCTTCAATGGCTAGCAGCGTGAGAATTACCTAGGGTCTCCTTTGAGGAGTTGACTATGGGGCCGCACCTCACACCAGGTAGAGAGCCCAAGTGCACCAGGTTCTTGGGAGGTCCTCGGGGCAGAAAGAGACACAAGGGGTCTAAGTAAGGGGCAGCCAGGGAATCTGGTGTGCCCAGGCTGGACCCATGGGCCGCACACAGCCCCAGGGCTTCCTGAGAAGGTGAGGTGTCCGGCCCTGGGCAACCGCGCCCTCTGCTCGCTGCCTCTCTGAATGCAGCAACCGTCCAGCTAACTCCACAGACTACTGTTCTGGTCAGTGTTCCTTCTGCAGCCCTGCCACGTGGCATGCTACCATTAGGCTAACTACTATAAATCACCATCCCTCTAATTCTCGAAGCCGGCATTTCTTCAAAACAAACAAACAAAAAAATCCAACCAAAAATACTAATAAATGAAAATCAGTCTCTTAACTCTATACACATACTTAACAATTTGCATACAGAAATAAAGTCTGCTAAAAATTCATTACCAGGGTCTGAATACTTCAAACATGGATGCGAATTATTTTGAGTAAATGAACTTCGCAGAACAACACAACAGTAATAAATCAAGCTGTCAGTGTTCATTGAATCACTACGGTGCATTCTGAGTCTGAAAAACAGCAACGCTGAGATTGAGAGGGGGTTAGGACGGTGGCGGGAGTGTGTCATTTCCCTTTAAATGTGGCCTCCCAGATGTGCTTTTCCGAGCAACCCCCAGGCCCATGGTGACAGTGGACAGGGCTGTGTGGCTCCACTTTCTACAGGGAATGGTAACAGATCAGAATAATAAGTGGCATTTGAGAGGCCCTTTAATAAGACGCAGGGAAATTGCTCAGGGAAAGAGGTAGGGAGAGCGAGCTGAGTGTGAGTGATAACCGGGAGCAGGCCTAGAAGCTTCCTTGTCAAGGGGCTAATGATTCCAGGAGATTGTGCTCCAAGTTTCTCTCTCTCTCACCACAGGCTTGGCGACAGGATGCAGCACTGCCCGAGGGATGGCAGAGCCCCGGATCCCTGCACCTGCCCCGCTCCCCTCATGATGCCCGAGGACTTCTGTGGACCACAGGAGGCCAGCGTCCCTGTCACAGAGCGCTCCCCCACGGGCGCTTCATTTCACCTCTCCTGCCCGTTCCCCAGCACCAATCAAGGGTCAACGGGCACAGACCACATGTCCAATGTCCAATTAACTCGCTTAATAACATTTATAAAAAACTTTTTTCCAAGAAGGAAAGAGGAATTAATTTGCAGAGAGATGTGGTAAGCTGGAAAACACTGAACTCGAAAGCAAATTCATTATAGGCTTCGTGTCACTTTTTAAAAAATTCATTTTAGTTTTTAAGCTCACTGCTTGGTCTCAATTAAGGTCGTGATATTTTAATTATCTTAATTGTTTCTAAACTTGTTTTCCAGTTCAAGTTACTTTTTAATGAGCTACATTGATTTTAAAATCCAGAGCCAAGCCTTTTCACTGTCCATGGGCACATCCCGAGAGCTCACGGGCAAAGGGCCGTAACCCCTGGGAGAGCGGAGCAGGAGACCACCGCAGAGCTGCTGGGACAAGGGCATGTTTCATTTTGTGGGTTGGCCACAGAGTCCCCAAGAGTCACCTGGGGCACTGACACACACTTGGATTTATTTCATTAACACCTGCAGAGCTTCTGTTCTGTGCGGGCTGGCGGCTGGCACCTCCAGAGGGAACAGGACCGCATTCCTGCCCCCCAGGGGCTCACAGCTCTGAGGGAGGACTGCAACAGGAGGTGAAGTTCAGTGTGTTAGGCCTGGCCTCTCAGGGGAGAGTGAGACCTCCGTGACAGACAGACATCTATGGAAAATGGGTTCAAGCCAGGTGATAGGATGAAGAACATTCCAGGTAGGAAGTGCCTTTCTTCCCCAGAGAAACCGAGGCAACTCTGGGGAACTGAAGTGTCTCACTGGGCTCCTGACAGGTTGGAGCAGGGGTGGTATGTGATACAATGGGAGAGGGTGGCATCACCAGGAAGGGCCTGGAAAGCACAGGGAGGACTCCAGAGGACCAGG